ATCTCTTCATCCTCTCAATATAGCTTAGTTTTTGTGCATTAATATTCAGAGTTGAGATGATATGAGCATAGCAATGCTCTGCCCATCTAAGTAGTAAGCTATGTGGTTTACTTTTCCTGCAGAAGCTTTGTTCTAATGATTAAATAAAGTGGTCTTGAGTTTTTGGTTCCATTTCCAGTCTCATTATTTTAGTTCATCTCAGTCTACCCTGAACCAGTTATTTAAATCATCTTTCAATACTTATAATACTATTATGTCCTCAAAAAAATATATATAGTTAAAATGTAATGAAAGTTTTCATACTATACATGGAAAATCTAAAATATATTTTTCAAAATAAGATACATCTAAAAAGTAATGAACTTGGAATCAAAACCCTCCATGTTGTAACTCTGCCATCTCAACTGTTGCACTTTTGTGTCAAGTTTGATAAAAAGGTAATTGATAGTAGTGACAATACTAAGTTCTTTTAATAATCACAACTATCTGAGACAATTGATCTGTTTTAAATATGAAGAAACCAAGATGAAGTAAAAGGAGTTTTCTAGAGTCACAAGTAATGGCAAAGTCAGATTCAAACACAGATCTTTATTGATATAAAATGAATTCCTCCTACAGTTCTATGTAGGACAAAGGGTGTTTGTACTATACAAGATACAGAAGTGATGTGTATGTACTAACCACATTTTCATTTTAATAACTTTTTACTTTAAGCGATACTAACTTGACTCAAAATTAGTTCATTTCCTGGGAAGTACATGGATGCATTTGGCTTCAGGATTGTGTGCATTTTAGGGACTTAGCTATAATGTCTCTTTCAACTTCTTGTATGCTCTTATTTCTATAATACATGGTTTTCTTTCCAGATTTTTTCTTCTGTAGACAAGGAAACCCTATTATCACAAGTATGTTTCTTGTCTTTATTACCCTGACTAGCAATGAAAAGATCACTCTTCTGCTTGACTCTTTTATATTTCAAAATGTTCTTTAAGAGTTGGGTTATACCTCAAGAGGAAAATGGGTTACCATGAATTCACATGAAGAGGACTATGTTGTTCTTGGGGTTTCCATGGTCCTTCTCATATATGTTAATTCCATGAGAGGGAGAAATAGAGAATGGGAATGAATGAATGGCTTTCATCAGTTGGCTACCTATTTTGTAGCTTCCAGTTGATAATGTGTGTCAGGTACCACTTTATCACCCTTCACATAAGAGCACCCTAGAAGTATTTTGGGCTTTTGAAGTCTAAAATAAGGAGGGGAAATGAAGTGAAAAAGGAAAATATGCAGTGTCTGCTGCTTAATGCCAAATCTTTTAATTTTAGCCTTTTGTTGAAAGAGAGATGCATCTTTAAAAATGTGATCGACACCAAGAACATGAACTCACACTAGACTATATAACTCTGGGTGAGATTAGGTTATTGTTTTTAGTGGATACTGGGGAGATCAAATCTGGGGAAGAATCTCACTTATTGCTTGTTAGCCTATATTTTTACTTTCTCTTATAATATTTATTTTTATTTTTATACCATAAAACACAAATTTTATTTTTGACCTCTCTGATTGATAGTCTATTTTTTCTTTACTCCATGCACAGCACCCTTAAAAACCTATTTTTCTTAATCTCTTGAGCCATAAAATGCCAGTCAAATTGTATATCCTTCTCATTTCTCTTCTGTTTGTCTTGCTGTGATCTTGCAACACTTTAGTAGGAACATACCCTTTGAGAGCAAATTTGATCAATCCTGTCTCTTCCTCACAGCTCTTTTCTACCTGCCCTTGCTTATTGCAAAATGTCAAGCAGAGTAGGAATGAACAGAGATTGTTTTCTGAATTTGAGTTTTTTTCTTTCTCGATTGACATCTCTTTTGAAGTTTGTGCATATTTTTGTCTTTGGGTTGTGCTGTACTGTCTTCACGGAATTTTATTTGATTATCCCATTTTTTGGCTGCTTCCAGTTATATTGGGAGATGAAGTCAGCTGCTATCTTTGGCTTTCTGGATGTCCTATTGATTTGGTGATAGTTCACTTCTCAGTGAACTAAAAACTTTTGTTAAAAGTACACTATCACTTAAATTTGTATTGTTTCAGAAAAAGTAAATATCCAAAATATTATTGTGATATGCTGGGCTAATCCATTCAAGCCAACTACTTAGGAAATAATAAGTCATAATAGAAATAAAGATCTTTGTTATGTTAACTGAAGAGTTGAAAGAATATAAAGACTGAGAGGTCTAAAAGAGTATATGACATGTCCTATATCTATTAAGCAAATTGAATAAAAAAGTAATTCTTCAGACACACACACTTATCTGCAGTCTCCAATGAATTGATTGGTTAATTCTATAAAACATGTAATAAGGAAATATTAAATTATGCAAATCCTTTGAGAAACTAGAGAAAACTCCACATTTTTTATGAGGATATCATAACTCACATAATCAGATGATGCAAAAAAATTACAATAAATATCAATATTCCTCATAAGCATACATGCACAGATTACTTACAGAATGTTAACTAGTCTTGTATAGTGTCCTATAAAAAGGACAAGGCTTTATGATTCCACAGGGAAGTAAATTTGGTTTCAGATCTGTAAATTATTCTATAGAATTTATATTAACAGAATAAAGGAGGCAATAATAGGATATGCTAAGTAGTTGCTGAAAAAGCAATTTCATCACAAAAATCTGCTTATCACAAATATCTCAGCAAAATAGGGACAGAAGAGAACTCTCTTAATTTAGCAAAAGAAATAATGAATGCCATCATTGTTTATGATGTATTCTCATGTACTGTAAATAGTTTTTAAATTGTTTTAATAAAACAACCATTAGTACTTATCTAACTTAATTCATAACTATAACCATTTGTAGGGAAGAGAAGATGTGCATGTGTACAGTTAGGGGGTCGTGGTGAAAAGATCAAAGTCTTATATCTAAAGGAATGCACATTGAGATACCATTAAAGACATCTAAACATGAAATCAAGAGACTCTTAACAAATCAGCAAAATTGAGAGGAAGGTCAGACCCAGACTTACCAAGAGATAGGTTTTGTGGGAGTTTCAGACTAGGAGCATAAGTGGAGGGAGAAGTTGCATTTAGTTTGTGAATGTCTTGGCTGGCTGGTGGTGCAAATATGCAGAGACCTGACCGCAGAACAGTGCTGGGCATCATAAACAATGTTAAATGTGATTTGGGACACTTACGCTTGAGGCACATAAGCGGTCATAAAATAGCGTTTTCAGGGAGGTATTTAGGGTTGAATAACATACATGATTCTATGTCTATGCAGTCTACAAGCCATGATACCCTAGTGACAAAGAGCACACTCACACAAACACAATGAGATCTTGGTTTCTGAATAAAATTCTCTAATACTGGATTTTCTCTCTCAGAGACAGGAACACTCAGTGGATGAATGTTCTCTTTTCTTTTTCCTTTATTCTTTTTCTCCACATGCTCCCCAGAATTTTTGTCTTTTTGATATAGGGATGAGGAACTATCACATTGTGGTTTTGATTTGCATTTCTCTTAAAACAAGTGACGTTCATGATGCTTTAACCATCTTTGGAGACATGTGAATTTATGTCATTTGTCATTTTTTGGATGGGTTTTATTTTTTTTGCTGTTGAATAAGTACTTTTTATAATTAGAAAATTAGTCCCCTGTGGGATGTGTGATGTGTAAATATCTTTGATGAAATGACTGTGGAAACATAAGCAATTATCCAGGTTGGAGTTAAAGGTTTTATGGTCCATCTCTCTACTACAGAGATCTGTGGGTAAGGGTGTCATTTCTACCATTTCAGGCTTTTTTCAAATAATCCTCCATGTTTTCATCTTCCTTCTCATATTTCCTATTGTTTCTCCTCACTTTACTCCTGAGAAACAAAGTGATAATGTGGAAAGACAAAAGCTGGAATTAAATCAGTTGACTACAAACCTGGGCTTACCTGAGTGACTTTGAACCAAATCTCTGAATTTGTTCCTTCCTTAAAACAGGGCTCTTAAGGTTTGCATGACAACATTTAAAATGTGACACCACATGGTGTGAACGTAGCAAATGTTCAATCTGTCTTCACCAAAGTGAGAGTAGAAATTGAAATCATACATTTCATCAGTTTCTACCCATTCTAATTTTATTTCTCGAATATAAGAAGAAAGGCTTCCAACCATACAAAGGGAGAATGATTTTGTACATGTGAGCGAGAAGCCTCAGGTGGAATTAGACACTTTCTTTGAAACCAAGGTGTGAATTTTATCTGATTCACTTATGGATTATTTTTAAAATTTTGAAGTTATTAGGGAAAAAATGCTGATCAGCAGTCATGAAATAGCAACCTTCTGTCCTTCTGTTACAAACCATTTGACTAAATCTGTAAAACATAGCCATCTTTTGCAAGAAATATTTGTAATTTTCATCGATGTATATGGAGAATGTGGAAATGTTGGAGGCCTCACTCAACTATAGACCATTGGGAATAAAAAAAGAAATTCTTGTCAAGGCATTTTCTCTAGGTCATTTCTGAAATAGGGAATTCAGTATAGAAAATACAGACTCTGAATTCTAGCAAAAATTTAACTTGATCATTTAAACCCTATTGTAATTCAATATCAAATCCTAAATGGTTTTAAAACATGAAGGGTCATATTTAATTATTTTTAGGGAAGAAAAAGAAAGGTATTACTATGAGAGTTTTCCACTATCATGTTTCATGATGTTTAAAAGTACTTGGAAAGAAGCAAAATGGGAGACATTCTAAAAGGGAGTCTCTCGAGCATGCTGTTAAAAAAAAAGGCAAGGATCAATGAATAAGCATGGGATGAAAAAATCATGAGATTCAGTAATGTCAATGCTTTTTGCAATGACTTGCTAAATGAAAAAAAAAAAACATTTAAAGCAAAAAAAAAAATGTTCTGAAGAAAACTCTGGGAAACAATACTAATACATATAGGTGCAAAGTTCAGCCTCTAACAGCCAGCAACATTGGTTCTATTTAATTTGCAATTCTCTTTAGAGTTTTCTTTAAAGCAAGTTTGACATCCTTGTTCCTTAGACTATAGATGAGAGGATTTAACATGGGTACTATGTTGGTATAAAATACTGAGAAGAACCTCCCCTGGCCCAAGGAACCATCAGAAGAGGTCTTGAGATGTGTGAACATGCCAGCACCATAGAAAATGGCAACAGTCATGATATGGGAACTACAGGTGCTGAAGGCTTTGGACCAGCCCTGAGAGGAAGACATGTGGAGGATATTGGAGAGAATCAGTGCATAAGAAATGAAAATAATGAAGCTGGATGTTATCACAACTGCGCTCACAAGAATGGAATCTACCAGCTCATTAACATAAGTGCTGCTGCAGGAGAGCTGCTGGAGGGGGAAGATGTCACACATGTAATGGTTGATGACGTTGTCATCGCAAAAGGACAGCCTGAGCATGTCCCCCGTGTGGACCATGCCACCAGTAAACCCCATCACGTATGACCCAATCATCAGCAGAGCACAGACCTGAGGCGACATGGTGACTGTGTACATCAGGGGCTTGCAGATGGCCACATAGCGGTCATAGGCCATGGCTGTCAGGACATAACACTCAGAGTGGACAAAGAAACAGAAAAAGAACAGCTGAGTCATGCATTCTTCAAAGGAGATGATGTTCTTCTCTACCACAAAGCTCATCAGCATTTTAGGGGTAATGATGAAAGCGTGGCACAGGTCTATGAAGGACAGGTTGAGGATGAAAAAGTACATGGGTGTGTGAAGGTGGGAGTTGAGGCATATTAGATTAATGAGGCTAAAATTCCCTAGCACAGTGACCACATAGTTGAATAAGAAGAGGAGGAAGAAGGGCAGTTGGAGTTGAGGTTGGTCTGTAATTCCTACCAGGATGAACTCAGTTACTGAAGAGCCATTTTCCATGGCCATCATCTGCGGTGGTGCGATCTGTGAGGAGATGGGATAAGAATTAGGACAGGACTCAGATCCTTTGTTTTAAGAGTGAGGACTTGTTCTAGTGGCGCTGCAGTGGGGTAGTGGGGTGGCACTCTGGAAGAAGGCCAGAGCAAGGATTCCCCATCTTAACCTATTCATCTGTCCTTTCCTTTCATGTTTTCAGATCTCAGCTCTGTCTCCTCACTTCCCCATGATGACACAATCAGGATGCAGTCTTTAGTGTCTATTAGTAGGTCCCCCAGAGTGATGTCCATAACACATTTCATAGTGAAGGAGATAGTATCTTGAAGAGATGAAATCAGCTGCAGAGGTGCTACAGGTGGTTAGCAAAGGAGCCAAGAGTTGTTCTTGGAAACATTTCCAATGTCATTTCCTGATGCTCTTACACAGTGAAGCTACTATGACACCTCTGTGTCCAGTGCTCAGCCCTTCCCACCCTCCAGACTTCAGCACCTGGTTTTTCAAAGTGCTGGGGATATCCACAATTGTATTGTAATTTTTTCCCTTCCTTTCATGTAATCTTACCTCAGAGTCTCTGTGAGTAGTTTAGGAAGGGCAGGTGCCTTTCCACGCCTTTGCACTGTGGTAATCCTGAGAATGAGAACATCAGAACAGAAATGACTCAGCTTCCCAATTTCCTTCTGTTTGGAGACCTCACTTGCCAGACCTTCCTATTCTTTTCTCTTCAGCCCTGGAGGAGAAACAGGCTTGGGTTAAGGATAAGCTAACTCCCCATTTGTTTGTGGATTTACATATGACTTCAGGACAAGGCAAATGCCTGGGCTTTATGTCTCCAAACCATCTACTGGCACATCGTGAGTTTTTCCCAATTCTCTGTGGAGCGAGCAACTATTTTGCAAGCTCAGAAAATCAACGTCATTTAGCTTGAAAGTGTGGTGCAGTTCTTGAGGGAAGAAATTATTGAGCCTGTGTTAACATCCTTTGTCAATGAGTTAACATTTATTCCTTTGGGACCCAATTCTCCCCGCATTGGGGAATATTCTCCCCATATTGGGTCCCATTAAGAATTATGAAACCTCATTGCATGGAGGAAATAGCCACCTGTGTTCTTGGGAGTCCTCTAATGCTCTCACTCGGTTCTTACTCTTCAAAGTGGAGTGTTGGGGGATGGTGTCACTTGCTATTTCTAATACCATTTTACATTTTATAGGGTTGATGTAACATATGTCCTAGCATTCATCTTATCTCTTAATGTTAAGAGAATGGGTTCTGAAGTCAAATTGTGGGTGTGTGAGTTTACATTCTTCCCTTTTGTGTGCTATTTGTTGAGGCCTCTTAGGAGCCTCTTTTACAAGGAATTCCACTTAGGAGGGCTCCATCCCCATGAGTAAAGTGCCTCTCCAAAGCCCCATCATCTGTTAGGATTGTTTTGTTTGAATGATACAATAAATTTATGTTTAAATAGTAACTAATAAAATATAATAAATAACATCAAAAATAAATATCAGACGCAACTTTGGGATATAATTTCTTTCTGGAGATGGACTTTGCCAGTGTGGAGAGGGGCTGTTCAGCTCCTCTTGAAGAAAACCAACTGTGGGAAGCGTTGTTGATTGAAAATCTACTCCTTTGAATCCACGTTAGTTTCAGTCTGCTTTTATTCTGCACTTACTCTCCAGTCTATGCTGGGCATGGTCTATCACACGCCCAGTCACTTTCTGTGTTACATGGGTCTCTTGTGACAGGCAGTCTTTTTGCTTAGGGACTTCCTATCAAAACGGCAGAGACATGTTCGAACTGCAATGTGATCTGATTCTCCTACACAATTCTTGACTGTTGGTCTGACTCTCTCTTTGTCTCTCATCAGACTTTGTTCCTCTCTTGAAGGCCTTTGTCACTGACTCCCTGTTCCTCTCCCTTTATCCTTCATAGACACTGACCACAGTAAAGTTCTTGCAAGTCTAATCATTTCTAATCATCTGGCTTCTTGGGGAAGCTTAAAAAACACAACTGTGACACACTGAATTTAAAACTTGGTATGAAGTTTTGATAATTAAGAAAGCTTGGTTTTGTAAATCATTGAAGAGAATAAAAGATTCAGAAATAGATCTTCACTTACATAGTCAATAGATTATTTTTTAACCAAACAGTAAATCCATGAGAAAAGTAAAATCTTTTATGGAATTGATACTGGAAATCTACCAATGTTTTGAAAATTGCATGTATTCAATCTGTTTAAAGTTTGCTAGAAAGAATAGCTTTTTAAAAAATTAATGTGTTTTAATAATGAGTTGTGATTTTTATATATGGAGTTATTTAAATGCATGTTTATAATTTTAGGGAGTTGGAAAGATACAAATATAAATTTTAAGCAAAATTCACATTATGTTTTTGTTTAAAGATTGCTGAGTCACCAGCACAACCTGGTGGCTATTTAGTGAACTTCTTCATTCAGTGTTTTAAAGTTGCTTGTGAGTTTTGTCTCCATCCTCCGTCCTCTCCATGGGGTCTCTCTCTCTTTTTCTCTCTGTATTTAAAAAATCACATTAACATTTTCATAATTATCATAATTTAAATTAAACCACATTTTTTGGTAATTTTTATTTTTATCCAATTATTTCTAAAGGATTGTATTCTTTCTTTGGCCTCAGAAGGTGAGGACTTGATACCTCTGTAATGGAGAATATATGGCTTTCTGTTTTTTTATAATTGAGGTAACATTGGTTTATAACACTGTAAATGGTTTAGGGGGATAAGTTCACACCTCTTTAGGTGTATGTCACCATAGCATACCTACCCATAAAGCACCCTTATCCCTTTACCTCACAAAATTGGGCACCCTCCCCCTTATCCCTACTCCCACTCTCTCTCTACTTCTAGTAGCTTCAGTTCTGATTGAAATTATGTTGCTGTCACCTTAAAATAAACTATCATATCTAGGACCAAGGAACTGCAGTTACGAACAGAAAGCAGTTAGATGGCTTTGTAAGTTCTTATAGATCAATAAGTACTTTAAATATAAATGACTTAATTTCTCTAACCAAAAGGCAAAGACTAGGTAACCGGATAAAAATAACAAACAAGACCCAACTATATGTTCCATACAAGATACTTATTTCAGCTTTAATGACACATTTAAAGTAACGGGTTAGAAAAAGATAATGAGAAAAAGATATTTTGTGCAAGTGGAAACAAAATGGACCAGGGATAGCTATGTTTAATTAGACAAAAATAGACAAACTCAAGTAGCTGTAGTGAGAGACAGACTAATGACATTGTGATGATAATATAATGATGAATAGATGGTATTACACTAGATACCATAGTAATACAAATATTCATAAGAGACTACTGTGAATAATTGTATTCCCATAAATTGAATAACCTAAAAGAACTGGAAAGATTTATATATATATATATATATATTTATATATATATATATCTTATATCTTAGTAGGTTGTGTAAGATTCTTGGATATGTAACAATCTTTCCATTTCTTATACAACATACTAAGAGTGAATCATGAAGAAATACAACATCTGAACATATCAATGATCCAAAACCTTGCAACAAAGAAAAGCCCAGGACCACATGGTTTCATTGGTGAAAAAAATTTTACCAAGTATTTTTGAGGAATTAATGCCAACTTGTTTTAAGTTTCTCTAAAAATTGAAGAGCTGGAACATTCTAGGTCAGAAGTACTTTTACACTGATGTCAGTTAAGGACACTACCAAAAAGGAAAAGTTCAGGGCAGTATATCTGAGAAAGATGAAAATGTCCTCAACAAAATTGTATCAAACTAAAATGAACAATAAATTAAAAGGATCATTTAGCATAATCAAGGGGATTTACCCACAGGATATAAAGATGCTTCCATAAACACCAAGCAATAAATGTGATCTGCCAGATTACTAAAAGTAAAGGTAAAAATTATGGAATCATCTCAATAGATGAGAAAAATTTCAATAACTTTCGTGATTAAAAGCAGGATGGGGGTACTGCAAAAGGATCATGAAGGGAACTTGTAAGGGTGATGGAAATGTTCTTGATCATGATCATGGCTGTGGTTACATGACTGCATTAGTGTTTGGAAGCCACTGAACTGCACTCGTAAAATGGGTGCACTATATTGTATGCTAATGAATTAAAATGAATTAAAAAAGAGAAAATTACAAGAAGACTCAGTCTCAATTATTATCTTCTAGGTACTGACCCTGAAACATTTTCTGTAAGTTAACCAGACTTAGTTCTGTTAAGAAATTAATTTTTTAATGATTACAGAAGGTTGAATAAATTTGGATTGTGGGCCTCCCCAGTGGCGCAGTGATTGAGCGCTGGGTTTCGAAGCTGCCCGCAGTCTCTGCAGCACCAGTTCAATCCCCGGTCGCAGGGGAGGGTCCCACATGGCACACAGATCTCTCCTGCCGCCCTCTGTTCCCCTCAGCAGTGTACTTCATCAGTCTGCCTGTTCTGCTCTCCACTCTGGCTCTGGTAGATTCTCTCACCCTCCCGCACTTCTGACTGTACCCAGTGCTTGTATAAATAAATAAATCTTAAAAAAAAAAAAGAATAAATTTGGATTGAAAACGTAGAATACTACTCAGTAATAAAAGGACTGGATCATTGATACATACAACCACTAGTATGGAATTAATTGAGGATAACATGCTTAGTGAAATAAGCCAGTTTCAGAGTAGTTATATAGTGTGGGATTTCATTTGTTATTTTCCACATGGTTACTGGAAGACAGATATGGTGGGACAGGATGGATATAAATACAAAGTTGTAGTATAAGGGAGTTATTTTATGGTAGTTTAGAGTTCTGCATCTTAATTGTGGGGGGTTTACCAAAATCTACACAAGGATCCAAATTATATGCATCTACACACACACACAAATGACTCAAACACATAGTGCATGTAAAATTGCTGAAAGCTGAGTAGTTATATCTATAGTCTGATAATCTAGTTAATATCATTGTCCAAATACCAATTTCTGGTTTTGCTACTATAT